GGCGGCCACGGCGCGAGACAGCACCACGTGTGCGCCTTCTCGGCGACGACGACGACGACGACTCTTCGCTGCCTCTCCACTTCAGTCATTGCTATGATTAGGCCAAGTACCCACCGCGCGACCCGCCGTAGCCACGACCGCGCCGAGTCCCTCGGCGCTGCAGCCAAAGGACCAGCGTGCCCTCTGCAGTCCCACTCCGCCAAGCAGGCCGGCGGCCGCCCCGCGCCGTGCCGCGCATCTCCGGCCCACAGAGCTTTGGCCGCAAGGCCAGGCCTGCTTCTGCTCCACCACGGCCTGCCCAATCTCAAGTCGGGCCTGTCCCTCTACAGGGGGGAAATTCGAACACAGTCAGAAAATATAGCGGGGACGATGTTTTTTTGCTAGTCTTATGTTTTGCTTGAGTCTTGTTATTTTTCGCCCAGGATCCGCGTGTAGGGGGGGACATGCCCGACCGAAGCCTAATCCGCGCGGTCCTCCCCACCTGCGCCGCCACGGCCTGGTCTGCCGCAGCCGGCCCTGCCTCGCCGCGCGGATGCGCCGAGAGTCCGGCCGCATCCCCGCCGTGGGCCGTGCCGCTCTCCAGCGGCCTCCGCCTGCCCGACACGGCCACCGCGGCTGCGCGCTCGCAGCCTCCTCCTCCTCCTCCTCCTCCTCCTCCTCCTCCTCCTCCTCCTCCTCCTCCTCCTCCTCCTCCTCAGAGCCCGTCGTTCGGGGTGCCCGTCGGGCTGCGCCAGGGCCTCCGTCGAGCTGCGGGGTCCTTCGCCGAGCTCCCACTGGTCCCCGTCGAGCCGCCGCGGGTCTCCCTCGGAGAAGCCCGTCCTCGCCGTGCCGCCCGTCCCCGTCGCGCCGCGGGTCCTCGCCGTCGCCGCGCTGCAGCGGGCCCCCCGTCGAGGCGCTGCTGGCCCCACGGGCGCGGCGGCGCCCCGCCGAGCTGCCGATCCCCGTCTGGAGCCGCTCCCGAGCCTGGAGAGGCTCGGTGCGCCGAGCTGCCGCGCGGTGCCCGTCGAGGCGCTGCGGGTCCCACGGGCGCGGCCGCTCCCCGCCGAGCCGCGCCGCTCGCACGCGACTTGCCCAGGCCTGCCCTGCCCTTCAGGGGGGGAAAAAACACACAGGCACAATGAATCGTCGATTCCCCAGAAAATATCGGAAAATATGGGAAATGTGGAAGAAGACACAAACCCAGAAAATATTGAAAAATATGGGGAGTCTGGTTATTTGTGTCTACTTATTTGCGTGTCCCAGTTCCCCTTCACTTCAGTCGGGCGTGTGCCTCTACAGGAGGGTGATCCAAAACACATCAGGAAAAAGGCACGATTGTTCGAGCATGTCTGAGCATGTTGTGAATCTCTCTAGTTTTCGTCCAGAAAGTCCGCCCGTAAGAGGACAGGTCCGACCGAAGCCTACCCGTTTCCCCGCGCATCACTCACAGCAGCCGCGCCCAAACGGCGCAGTGCCAAGGAGAATTGCGACAGGTGGCAGCGTGCGAGCACATGCGAAAGTACAGACATACATTATGAAAGAATCGACGGGACTGCAGGCAGCCCGGTTGCCGACCATGAAGAGGCGTTGTATCCTATGGGGCACGGTGCGAAGACTGGCAGACAGTGCGGACAAAAGGGGCGGGAAGGGAGGAGCAGGGAGGGGGAGGAGGGAGGAGGGGGTCAGAAACGGAGCAATCAGCCAGTATTGCACCAAGATTAGACAGCTGAGCGCCAGCTCGTTTCGTCGCCGAGAAGGCCCTGGAGTCGGCGCAAGTCGCGCCCAGGCAGTTCCGAGGCTTGTGAATGCATGTATGTCGTCCAGCGCAGGCACGGCCTGCCTCGAACGTGTGCGCTGCTCCACTTCTTTGGCGAAGCGGAAGAGTTGCACTCGATTCAAAACAGCATACGTCTCGAGAGGCTGCACGGGGGCGCCCGGGCGAGCCTACCATATAGCATCAATTGGCCTTGCAATACCGTTGTAGAAAGGATATGTACTTCTGCTGTCTGCAGAAAAGCCGCGTTGCTGACTCCAGAAAACGCGCTTGCAAAATCTTGCATGTTTTCCTCAAGCATCGTGCTTGGAATGCATTCTAGATGTTCCCCGTCAGCCTTTAACAGTATGCACGATTCGAGGCCATACAGCAGTTTTGATCTAATACGGGATTCAAAGACTTGCAGTTTGCGCTGTTTACTTGAATTTGCACGGTTCCATGCCGTGCACAATGTTTAAAGTTCCCCGTTTGTAGCCTCTCCAGCGCGCCTGGTCAGCTCATTGCGTGGCCGGCCGTCTACACTAAGAAGACCACCGAGGTACAGCACTCTCTTTGCACGGGATGGCTACGCCGTCTGCCCCAATTATGGCATCCTCCTGGCGTTGAGGTCCAGCCCAAAGGCTCTGCCAACCCGTGCGATTGCATCCAAATGGTGTTGCAGATACCCCAGGCTCTCTGCGAGCAGCATTGTGTCGTCTGCGTACAGCACGTCTTCCGTGACCAAGTATGGCTTGGTGGATTTCTCCAACCGTTTCTCCTCCATTTGCGTATCAACAATTTTCAGGAGATGTGGTATCACAGTGACAAACAAGTATGGTGAGAGCGGGCACCCTTGTGCTATGCTTGCCTCCTTGGTTCTGCTCGATGTCGTGGAGGCCCCATTCTTCACCACGAACGCTCGCACTCTGCAAATGGCTTCTAACATGGGCGGCGGCACGCGGATAAGCCGAAGTGATTGGACGAGTCTTTCTGGCCGGATGCGGTCGAATGCCTTACTCCAATCCAATCATAGGAGAGAGCCGTCCTTGTGCTCCAAAGCGGCATCGATCAAACGCCGTGCCAGAAAGAGTGCGTCGTTCGTGCCACGTTTTGATTCGAATCCGTTTTGTGATTCCCGCAATGCCTCCTCCGCGCCTCCTCCCTGAAATCTTTGCAAAAGATGGTGGAGAGAATCTTGTATCCCATTGGTGGAGTTGAGGTTGGCCTGTCGTCTCATGGCTGGGACGTGTCGCCTTTCTTGAAAATAGAAACCATGGATACATTCATCCAGCTTGGTGGTATACCTTTTTGTCGCCAACACGTGTAGCACAGATCTGTGATGATGTCATCTGTTTGGGCGTCTCTCCACATAGATTGCCACAATTTCGGCGACATTCCATCGTTCCCAGGAGCTCTTTGTACACGAAGTTCTCTGATAGCAGTTTTGATATCGTCTCTCGAGATGTCATTCGTATCGATGCTGAAGTAGCCGTCCTGCGAATCCATGGCGGGCGGCGGGCCTGCGCCCGGAGGAAGAGGCCACTGGACGCGATCAAGATGATCTGCCATTGTGCCGGCCCTTCGCGCAGCATCCACCAGGTCGCTGTTCATCTGCGCGCACGAGATGGGCACGGAAAGAATGGGTACGATGCCCAACAGCAGTTCCTGTGCATTTTGAACAGGACTCGCTGTCCGCGCCGCCGTCGCCTGTGCCCATTCGAGACAGGAGGCCACCTGCCCAGCAGCGGCCGCTGTTGGTTTGGGACAACACTTGTTGTTGGGCATTGTGCCCATTATATCCGTAATTACCCATTTCGGGCGTCCAAAGTCCAGATCTCGAAGCCGTCCTTATGTAAAGGATGTCCCTTTTCCGGAGAAACCCGAAGGCCCGCCATCCGTCCTGCTCGAGCGCTGCGCAGAGCCGCGGTGGTCTGTCTGCACGGGCCGACCTGCGAGTCTGTTCGTGCAGGAGGTTCAGCTCGTTGCTGCCGTCTCCCCGCCGTCGTCCCGCATTCCTCTGCCCGGTGAGATGCAACGTCTGGGCAGAAGTCCACGGTCGGCGGGGCGCGGCTGCTCGTAGTGGCATCGATACCGCCATGGCTTCTTTCACGCATGAGGCCAAGGCCGCTGCGGTGTGTCCTCGAAGTCCGAATCAGCATGGTCTCGAGTGCAGTGCTCGACCAAACGTTTCGCATACTTCTTTGCAGTCGCTGGAGAGCGCAACGTGGTCAAATCATACTTCGGTAGCGGTGCCCGTAGTTTTTTTTGTTTCTGTCTCTCTCTCTCTCTCTCTCTCTCTCTCTCTATATATACATATATATATAGATTTCCAAGTCCACTACATATGCAAAATGATGCGACTGCAGTTGTCTCCCGCGGTCGCTCCACACGTTTGCGATGCAAGATCGCCAAGCGTTGCCGACAACCACGCGGTCGAGTTGCTCGAATCTGCCTGGAACGACTGGTTCCGACGGCTTCACCCCCAAATCATCATAAGCAGTCTTCAATTCATCTCCATTGTTGAAGAACGCGTGAACCACGGAAGAGTCCAGCAACTCGGCCTCCGCGCAGGAGCGGGCCGCCGGCGACGCCGCGACGCGCCTCGTCGCGCCCTGGGGCGCCCGGGTCCTGCCGCCGCCCGCTGCGGCGCCCGTCGAAGAAGGAAGCACGCCAGCAAGAAGTCCGCGCGGGGCGCCACACGTTTTTATGCGTGTTTATGCACGCGCGGGGCCTGCGCCCCCCCGCGCGGAGCCAAGAAATCCGCGCGGAGCGCCAGAAGTTTGTGCTTATGGCGCGTCCTCTTCTTCTGGCCTCTTGCCCGTGCCTCGGCGCGCGGAGCCGGCGCAGCAGGCGGGCGGCGCCCATCGCGGGCGCCCCGCCGGTCGTGCGCCCGGCGGAGGGCCGGGCAGTCCTACCCCGCCGGGGCCGGGCTGCTCGGGCCTGCCTGTCCACACGGGGAGGGGATGTTGTTTCGCAGGCCGGTGGAGGCGACGGTGGTGTTGATGCTGATGTTGGTGCTGATGGTGGTGATGGTGATGGTGATGGTCATGGCGGTGGCGGTGGTCAGGGCAGCCAGAGGATGCTCTTCCTCTGAGCGGCGCTGATCTGCTGATGCTGATGATGGTGGTTGTGCTGGTTATGATGCTGCTGATGATGGTGGTGGTGATTGGTGATTGGGATGGTGGGGATGGTGATGATGGTGACGTTGATGATGATGGTGGTTACGACGATGATGATGCGTGGTTCAGATCAGAGTGCCCGCTCCGAGGCGGGCTACTGGACGCTCTACCGCTACAATCCCGCCCTGCGGGCCAAGGGCGAGAACCCTTTTAGGCTCGACAGCAAGCGCCTCACGCGCACCGTCGAGGAGCCCCCCGGGAATCGGTTCCTCCGTGCTCCTTCCCCTTGGCCGGCTCGTACCCTCCTTGCCCTCTTCCGAGGGTTCATTCCGAACTTTCCGATTCGATCCGAGTCGATTTCGACGGATATTGATTCGATTCGATTTCGGATTCCGGTTTGGATTCCGATTTCTGAACATAGTCCTTACCAGCGCTCCAGTTTCTCCGCCGAGTCGACTTCTCCCGGCGTGGCTACCTCTTTCCGTCGATCCGATTAATTTCGATCGCCGATCCACCTTCTCGATTCGATTCTGGGCTCTCCCGCCTCATCATCCTCCCAAGTTGAGACAAGCATTGCTTACACCGCGCCAGGATGACGCGTTCCCTATGTGTGTATATATATATATATATGGATACATCTACCTATATGTGTGTATATGTGCGCGTGTATTCCCGGGTGGCGTTTCAAGAGTCAACAGCCCGGCCCACCGCGGCCGATGAGCAGACCACTCGGTCTGTCTGTCCGACCTCTTGCCTCTCTCCGAAGCGTCGAGGAGTTCACTTCCACAGAGAACCGCTTCATGACCCTCACCCGCACCAACCCCGAAATCGCCGACCAGATGAAGGCCTCCCTCCAGGAGTTCGTGACCCGCAGGCATGACAAGTTCAAGCGGATGGCGGCTGGCGAGGACGCGATGGAGGGGGGGAAGGGATAGGAAGGAGGGGCGAAGAGAGGGGAGCGGAGGGGGGGACAGTAGATGGACAATATATTCGAACCCTCATACATTCGAGGGGGATTCTAAGTCACCCCCGCGCCCCCGACATCAATGTTGATCTCAATAGAGGCGGTGCTTAGGGGTTCGAGTATTTCTGTCCACACACGCCCCCCCCCCCTCGCCACGCCATCAATTTTTTATTTCGAGGGGTCTGGGGGGCATCCTGGGCCACAGGGTTCGAATCTCATGTCCATGTACGGGAGTGGGGGGGGGGACGAAGATTGCTGCAGGCACCTGGTTGTGGCTGCGCCGTCGGGCTCTCTCCCCGAGGCGAGGCGGCCACGCCTTGCGTTCGGAGGCGCCAGGGAAGGCGGGCGCCTCCAGCTCTTCGCTGCCCCCGCCCCTTTTCAGGAGAGGAAAAACACACAGACACAATTAATCCTCGATTCCCCTAGAAAATATGGGAAAATATGGGATGTGGGGGGGAAGACAGAAACCCAGAAATTATGGGAAAATATAGGAGAATCTTTTCATTTGTGTGTATTTATTTGTGTGTCCTGGGGCCCCTTCACCTTTGCTACCCCCCCTCCTTCCCCTCGTCCGCCCCAGGGATTGGAGCGGAGGGGAGGGAGCAGGTGGCAGGGAAAGGCAAGACCCCACAGGGCCCGCTCCCGGTGAACGCAGCGAGCATCGGCGACTACAGAGGGTGTGGTTACGCCGGGGTGTGGCTTGCGATCGGCGTTGTTTGGCCCAGGGGGGCAACACACTGTCCTCATCGGGCCTCCTCGGGTTGGCGGCGGAGCACTCTGTCAAGGTCCCCGCCCCAGTGGGCCGCGGTCGCAAACCACACCCATTGCACGGGGCCTCGCGTAGTGGGGGGGCGACAAATGGGGGGGCAGCGAAGGCTGCAGAACAGGGGCCGTGTAGGGCCCCAAAGAAGGCGCTTATGGCCCAAACGGAGGCCTTCAGAGCCCGAACAGAGCACCCTTCTCATCCTTTCTCCCCCCAGCTCCCCTAGTTCCATGAGATCCGACGTAGCGAAAAAACAGCATCGTAAACAATCACGCCTGGACCCCCAGACCTCATCTTTCTGCTGGGTCATTTTTCGAACCGGATCCATCTGTGAGGATCCCGGGGCAGTTGTAGGTATCGTCTTCGGTGGTGCCCCTTTAGGGCCACGAAACGTTGTATTGGGCGGGGAGTCGCATGCGGGCTGCGACACTGGGACCTTCGGTGGGACTCCCTATTGGGCCACGAAGCGCTGTACTCGGTTGGGGGAGACGCATGCGGGCTGCGCCCCTGGGACCGTCGGTGGAGCTCCCGTCGGGGCAACGAAGCGCTGTACTGGGTGGGAGAGACGCATGCAGGCCACGCCACTGGAACCTTCAATGGGGCGCCCTATGGGGCCACGAAGCGCTGTACTCGGTGTGGGAAAGGCATGCGGACTGGGGCCCTGGAACCGCCGATGGAGCTCCCTACAAGGCTACGAAACATTGTACTGGGTGGGGGAGTCGCATGCGGGCTGCGCCACTGGGACCCTCGGAGCTCCGTATCGGACCACGAAGCGCTGTGCGGGGTGTGAGAGACGCATGCGGGCTGCGCCACTGGGACATTCAATGGAGCTCCCTAGGGGGCCACGAGGCGCTGTGCTCGGTGTGGGAGACGCAGTCGGGCTGCATCACTGGCACCTTCGGTGGAGCTCCCTATGGGGCCACGAAACGTTTTCCTGGGTGTGGGAGACGCAGTCGGGCTGCGCCACTGGCACCTTCGGTGGAGCTCCCTGTGGGGCCACGAAACGCTGCACTGGGTGGGGGAGACGCATGCGGGCTGTGCCCCTGGGACCGTCGGTGGAGCTCCATGCGCATCGCCCCCCCATCATTGAGCGTTGCCCAGCTGCAAACCACACCCTTCGGCGTCGCCGAGAGCCCAGGCCCACGACGTCGTCTTTTGTCACGACGTCGACCCCCAGAGGTCCGGACCCCTTCCTGGAGACCAGTGCTTCACCCTGGGCCGTTTCTTGACGGCCCCGAGGCTCGGGAAGGGCCCCCGGAGGCCGAAGATAGCGAAAAGTGTCCTGCCGCGATGTTGTCGCAGGCGCGAGGGGGCCCCGGGGGGCACGGCACGGCCAGCCCGGGGCACACCGACTCCGCCCGAGATGGCCTCGGCGCGGTCGGCCCGTGGCGGCCTCGGGGCCCCTCGGCGAGGGCGCCCGAGGCGCGGAGAGGGGCGAGGGGAGCGCGCGGGGTGCAGCCAGATCTCCCGCACGCGAGTGGGGGATCGACTACAGCAAGGAGGAACCCCAGAGCTGATCTGTTCCCAGTCCCCCGCGCGCTGCGAACAAGTCACCATGGGAGGTTTTGCCCCATCTGCGGCCTCCGGAGGCCCTTCCCAGGCATCGGGACCGTCAACAAACAACTCAGGATGAAAAGCCGGTCCCGGGGAAGGGGTCCAGACCTCTGGGGGTCGACGTTGTGACACAAATCACGAGGGCGGTGGTCTGGGGCAGGGGATCGACTACAGCATTGAGAGTTGATCCGTTGGTCGACACCCACGAAAATGCCTCGCATGCTCGTAGATCTACATCCATTCGACATGGTTCTCTCGCAGGTTACACGACATATGTTTCAAGCTTGGGGTAAGTCAGCCCGCATAGCAGGGATGGGCAGCATTCCCCAGGGTACCCTTGCATCCTTGCCTCCTCGGTCCATCCTTCGCCACTCTCGTCGGCCGCGCCCAGCTCGAAGAGCTTCGACGTGGGCGCCCAAGGCCCTTGCATCCTTATCGCGCATCCTTCCTACACTGGTTGGCTGTACGTCGATTTTGTAGTCGATCCCCTACTCGACGCACTGGGGGGGAGGGGCCGGGAGGGCGGGCTGGGCTGGCGGGCCCGGCGCGGGCTGAGAAGTTGTGGTCGCGCCGTTTTGGCTTTTCCAGTCAGAGCCACTCTCATCCCTCCCTCTCCTCCTCCTCCTCCTCCTCCTCCTCCTCCTCCTCCCTCCTCCTCCTCCTCCCTCCTCTCCTCCTCCTCCTCCCTCCTCTCCTCCTCCTCCTCCTCTCCTCCTCCTCCTCCTCTCCTCCTCCCTCCTCCTCCTCCTCCTCCTCCTAAGGCACACGGGCTTCTTCCTCTGCTCCCGCCCCCGCCCGCCCCCACCCCCCACGAGCTCTCACTGCCGCCCCCGCCCCGTCCCTCCTCCATTTTCCGCCATCCGTCATCGTTCCTGTTATTCTTCTTATTATTATTAGTGCTATTATTTTTCTTTGAAGTATTAGTATTAGTAGTATTATTCTTATTCTTCTGAGTATTAGTGTTATTCGTATTATGTAGTCTTGCTCTGATGTGTATCCTCCTTCCTCTTATGATTAATATTCTCATTTGTATAAGTATTGCTATTACCCGTATCATTACTTTACTTATTTCTATGATTTATTACTTATTATTATGATTCCTCCTCCTCCTCCTCCTCCGCCTCCTCATCCTCCTCCTCCTCCTCCTCCTCCTCCTCCTCCTCCTCCTCCTCCTCCTCCTCCTCCCGTGGCCCCCCCCGTGGCCTTCCCCTCCATGTCCCCCCTCCCTCCCGCGAGCGGCTGGGTGGCCGCCGCGCCTGCGGCCCGCGGGCCGGCGCCGTGGCGGCAGCGCTACTCGGGGCTCAAGGGACAGGGGTCAATACAGACGGGGGCCAGCCAGGGCGCCAGATCTTGCAGGATCCTGTAGAGGCCAGCCTGCAGGAGGACATGCCCGACCCCAAAGGAGGGGAGGGTGGTTCTACCCACACCTCCGACGCCTGGCGTCTTCCAGAGCTCTCGACCCCATCGCCCGGCGTTCCATCCCCAGCTGTTGTTCTTGTCCAGGGGCGCGAAAAATCTGGAATCCAAAAATCCGAAAATCCAGAGATGCCGGACAAATCTAAAAATCCAGAGAGTCTAACAAATCTTTGAAACAGCGACCCGGCCGTGGCTCGCGCTGCGAAATTCAGATTCGGCCACCGAGGGGGAAGGCTTCTTAGAAGCGGCCTCCTTCTAAGAAGCCTTCGCCCCTCCCCCTACAGCTGAAACTTACGATATGGATGGGTCGTCTTCCCAGGGGCACCCTTGTATCCTTGCCTCCTCGGGCCTCCCGCAACCGCTCTCGATAGCCGGCAGCGCTCGCGAAGCTTCGGCACGGGCGTCCACAGGGCTTGCATTCTTATCGCGCATCTTTACTTTCAGTTTTGACCGTACCCCTCCCTCCTCGCGCCGCCAGGAAACGGGCCCACGGAGACCCAAAACTCATAACAATTCGTCGCCGAGATGTGTCTTCGCGACGCTGGCGGTCTACAGGAAGGGAAGCGGGGGCGTGAATCTCGGCGGCGCGCACACGGGGGTCGCTCGAGAGAGAGGGGGGGCGGCCCTGCAAAAATGCGGGGGGGCTTCTGAGAAGACGCGGGCCCTCTCAGGAGTCGATCAGGATGCCAGAGTTGACTTACCCCAAACATCTTCTCTGTCGAATATGCGACACGGAAATGGCACCGGCGCGATCCCACTTAGGGGAACGTTTCCTAAGCGGCGGTGCTAAGAATGTTTGGTACTGCATCGCTTTGCTCTGCGTTGTCTTGCACTGCGTGGCATTGCTTTGCATTGCTTGGCGTTGCTTGGCATTGGTTTGCATCGCTTGACACGGCTTGGCGCTGTTTGGCGTTACGTGGCATGACTTAGCGTTGCTCTGCATTGTTTGGTGTTGCTTGTCATTGCTTGGCGTTGCTTGGCATTCCTTGGCATTCCTTGGCATTGTTTTGCACTGCTTGGCACTACTTGGCGTTGCTTGGCGTTGTTTGTCATTACTTGGCACTGCTTGGCATTGCTTGGCGTTGCTTGGCGTTGTTTGGCGTTGCTTTGCACTGCTCTGATCTGATTGGCGTTGCCTGGCGTTGCCTGGCACTGCTGGGAAACAAGACCAACAACCAGTGCTGGGAAACCGGGGAACGTCCGAGGAACGGGCAACGTAAGAATGCGAGGCACCGGGGGCCGGGAGACCGAGGAGCCTCTGGAGAACGGGCACGGCAAGACCGCGAGGCACCGGGGGCGGGGAACCCAGGGAGCCCCAGGAGCCTCGGGGGGGCGGGCCACGCAAGCCCCCCGAGCAAGAACCCTGTAGGCGAGCCGAATTGGGGAATCAGAGCGTTGTTCAGTGTAGTGGCATGATGCGTACTGTGTCGTAGATTGGGCTGAGGAGCACTTGGGGTAAGTCACTCCTGTAGTTGATCTCCTGCTCGGAGACGGGCTTGGGGATTTCTAGGGCTCCTCAGACCCCCAGCGTCATGATTTGTTTCATACCGTCGACCCCCAGAGGTCTGGACCCCTTGCCTGGGACCGGTTTTTCATCCTGCGTCGTTTTGTTGACGGTCCCGAGGCCCAACGAGGACCCCCGGAGGCCGAAAACGGCGGAAAATCTCCCGCCGTGTTTTCTTCATGACCCGAGGGGGTCTGGGTCAGAAGCAGGAAGAGCCTCTGAGAAATCCCTCTGCCTTCTCAGCAGCCCCTGGTCTGCAGGGTGACGGCAGCCCTCGTGTCGCGTCGACACCGCGGCGACACCGCGACGCGGGCGTTCGAGGGCAATCGCCGCCGCCAGTGGCCTGGAACGGAGCCGGCATCGGAGAGTCTTGCGCGGTCAGAGAGCCGCGATCGTTCCCCGGGCGAGCGAGCCGCGCCGATGCCGGAAGCCACCGCGCAGATCGTCCTGGCGCGAGCTCCTGCTCCTCCTCCTCCTCCTCCTCCTCCTCCTCCTCCTCCTGCTCCTCCTCCTCCTCCTCCTTCTCCTCCTCCTCCTCCTCCTCCTCCTCCTCCTCCTCCTCCTCCTCCTCCCCCTCCTCCCCCTCCTCGTCGATGCCGCCCCGCTCGCGCAGCCAGCCCTGCGCGCGCCGCCAGGGAGGGGCGGGGAGGTGGCGGGTGCCGGCCGAGGACGCGGGGCAGTCCGCGGGGGTGCCCCTGACGATCCTGGTGGGCAGCGACACGGGGACGGCGGCCGAGCTCGCGCTGCGCACCAAGAAGATGTGCGAGGCGTTCGGAGGGGTGCAGCGTGTGTGTGGGTGGTGTGTGGTTGTGTGCTGTCCTGTGCTCTGCTATGCCGTGCTGTCCTGTGCTGTGCTGTGCTGTGCTGTGCTGTCTTGTGCTGTGCTGTGCTGTGCTGTGCTGTGCCGTGTTGTGTTGTTGTGTGTTGTGTGTTGTGGTTGTGGTTGTGGTTGTGGTTGTGATTGTGGTTGCTGTTGTGGTTGTGGTTGTGTGTGCGTTGTTGTGTGTTGTCGTCTGTGTGTTGTTGTTGTGTTGTTGGTGTTGTTGTTGTTGTTGTTGTTGCTGTTGTGTGCTTTTGTGTGTTGATGTTGAGTGATGCTGTGTGTGTTGTGTTGTGCGTGTGTCTGTTCTTGTTATTGTTGTTTGCGGTGTTGTTGTTATTGTTGGTGTGTGTGTGCCTGTGTGTGTCTCTGTGGGTGTGTGTATGTGTATGTGTGCCTGTCTGTCTGTCCGTGTGTCTGTGTGTGTGTTTGCGTGTGTGTCTCTGTGTGTGTCTGTATGTGTGTTTGTGTGTCTGTCTGTCTGTCTGTCTGT